TTTAAATTCAGTCTCAACGTAATATTTAATGCAGTATTTCACCCATATCTTCCCCTGAGTCCCTCCTCTATACTCCATCTGCCCTGGTCTTCTTCCCAAGCTTTAGTCATTTGTGTTGCTCTCCAACTACATTCTCGGTTTCTACATTTTCTTACACAGAGTACTTTGCCTAGCAGAGCAAGATCTTTAGCTTTAAGCTCTGTGGCATTTATGTATCAATGCAGCTGCAGTATAAAACACAGTGGAACTGGAAATAGTTTATAACAGCCATTACTTTTGTAACTCTTTAAACTATTTCACACTTCATTTGGAAAGCTCTCCAGTGGTAGATGGCTGGAGTAGACTTGAGAAAAAAAAATGAAGAGCATGGCTCTGAAAAAATATTACTGGTGAACCGCAGTTCTCATGTGGTTTTTCAATTTTAGAAATAAACTATTTTATACAAACCTTTGAAGAAAGCAGAACAAAAGTTTTGATGGTCAATGCCCTGAAAGCATTGAGGTGTCCTTGAGTGGTGCTTGTTAGATAAGTAAACTTATACACAGGATTCAGAATTTAAGGTTGCAGACATGGTGTTTTTTGTGTTGCTGATCACTCATATTGTAAACTATCATTGCAGATTTTCTACGACTGTATTGCATGTTTCTCCTGACATATAACCCTCTATTTATATGTATGTGCTGCGTTTGGTTGGAGTAGAGTTTATTTCCTCACAGTGGCTGCTGTGGGGCCATGGTTTGAATTTGTGACCAAAACAGTGTTGATAATGCAGAGATGTTTTCATTACTGGTGAGCAGTGCTGACACAGAGTCAGGGCCTTTTCTGCCTCTCACCTCACTCCACCAGTGAGTGGACTCGGGGTGTATAAGAGGTTGGCAGGGGACACAGTTAGGACAGTGGACCCCAACTGACCAAAGTGATATCCCATAACATATGGCATCATGCTCAGTATATAAAGCTGGAGGAGGAAGAAGGAAGGGAGCGTTGTTCATAGTGATGGCATTTGTCTTCCCAAGTTACACATTATGTGTAATGGAGCCCTGCTTTCCTGGGGATGGCTGAATACCTGCCTGTCACCTGCCTGTCCTGGGAAGCAGTGAATAAATTCTTTGTTCTGCTTTGCTTGTGTACACAGCTTTTGTTTTACCTATTAAACTGTTTTGTCTCAACCCACAACTGTTCTCACTTTAACCCTTCTAATTCTCTTTCCCATTCCACCAGGTGGGAGTGAGTGAGCAGCTCTGTGGTGCTTAGTTGCTGGCTGGGGTTAGACCACAACAATATGTTGTTATATCGGTATTTATAACCCCACTACTGTGGTATTTTATGTCTGTCTGTTTGAAAAATCATAGAAGGTTCCTTCTTGTTTTTATTTCAGTATAGATACATTCTCTTATTGGGTTATAATTTTCTTACTCTCATTAATATCTGTTCAGTCTCTGCAATGAGTCAATACATTCCCATTTTTTGTGGAAAAAATATAACAAAAAATTCCCTTCAAGGTTAATATGTTCTATAAAGGTAGAAGAAGATTTGTTTTTTTCTTTTGAAGTGCTATAACCAGGTTAAGATGTTCTTCCCGCCTCTTCCAGTGACTTCTGTATTTGTATTTATAAAACAATCCTATCTCAAAGATAGGCTTAAGTCTTATAACAATTAGAATCATTATTAGGGAAACAGTAAAGTTAAATTCTTTATAATCTTTTCTGGCTGAGGATTTTGGAGCACTTCCTATACTGATATAAAGCACAAAAAGTCTGCATACAACTGATAGCTTTAAATCTTCACATTTCCTTAATTGCTACCCAGGTAAGTAGGATAATTTGCTCCAGATTTGTGGCTACTGTGGCAACCCAGAAACTGACTGGAATATTAAATTGACAGGCTGTAGCGGGTTTTATAGGCTTTACTGGATCAGAGGTTTTGCCTGAACAAAGAAATGACATGCAATATCCTGCAAACTGGATAAAAACATGAAGTGAAAGCTGGTGTGGGGGGGGGTTGCATTAACTTTCTTTCCTTCAAAAAAAACCTCAAGAAAATAAGGGATGCTAGGCGTGGGTTTTAGAACTGGTAGGGCACATGGAGTCTCTCAGGTAACAGCTCCTCTGGCTCTTCTCCTGCTGTAGGATTGAAAATCCAGGACCGGTTCATACCTTGATTTTCACCCATCACACAAGAAGTTTACTGTGTACTTGCTCTCCCTTTCTCCTCATCACAGAATCATAGAATGGTTTGTGTTGGAAGGGACCATAAATATCATTTAGATCCAACCCCCCTGCCATGGACAGGGATCCTTGCACTAGACCAGGCTATTCAGAGCCCTGTATAGCCTGGTCTTAAACATCTCCAGGAATGGTGAATCCACGATGTCTCAGGGCAACCTGTTCCGATGCCTCACCACCCTTACAGTAAAGAATTTCTTCCTAATATCTAATCTAAACCTACCCTCCTTTAGCTTAAGGCTGTTTGTGATCCCAGTACCCAAAGCTACACTCTGATATATCTTTCCAGAGACCACAGTGAACACTATAAAATAAGATAAACTCAATAATTCTTTTTTCCCCCTATTTTTTTTTCTTATAACTTGGACTGAAACAAAGCATGTAATATAAAAACAAAGCATATAGTATAAGCATTAGGTAAAAGAGAAACAAAAGTTGGTACCCTGTTCTCCTTTTCCCTCCCCCACTGGAGACTTGGCATCCTCATTTTATTTTACTTCGCCTTTATTCAATAACATGGAAACCAATTTGGCCTTAAATTAAGCACTCTTTTAACCACAATGGCTCTTAATCTGCTCTTCAGAAAACAAATGGTAAATGTAGTGTCACCTCTACCCCTTTTGCAAACTGATTGATCTTTGATGTATTTCATGTCCTTCTGAACTTCTGAAGGTGAGGTCATGGTCAAATTTCAGAAGAGTGCCCCCACCCGGCCTCCTGGACTCTGAGCTTTCCAGCCAAAAAGCAGAAGCGGATAAAGGAAATGATTCACGGCACAAGGGCTAGATTTGATACAGTGATTTCTCATATATGTTCAGACAAGCAGAGGTCCCTGCTTTCTTTTAAACTTGATTCTAATTCAAAGCAAATCAACTAAAAAAATACTGTCTAAAGTCATCATGCACGTGGTATAAAAATTCTGCCCTCTAGTGCTGTGAAACTGTGTGATGTCTGAGATGCACTGATTGATTTATGGGAGGGGAAAATATGTAGCCTTGCAACCCACAATTTCAGCCATTTTTATCACTTCCAAAGGGAAGGGAGAGGAGTGTAAAATGTACTTAATTTTTTTGTATTAACTAGAGAGAAATATGATTTTAATATCTGAAACAACAGCAAAAGTTGCTAAAAAAAATCTTGAACCAGATAAATTGTGCAGCAGTTTGTTAAAGGCACTTTGGGATAAATTGTAAATGCTACTACTCAGTCAAATAAAGAAAAATCTGAAACAATATCACTGATGGGGAATGTTATGCCATAAGTGAGGTGTGTTGTCAAAGCTTCTTTTAAGTAATGGTTGCAGTTGTGTGATGAATGCCAGTTGAGGCACTGCTGTTCTCTTAGCTCCTGCCTTTGAGAGTCTGGAATTCATTGGAGAGGTGAAGAACAGTCTCAGTCTCAGGGGCACCAGAGTATGCTGGCAGGAAGGGAAAGGATCATATTAAATAGCACCGTTAAAGCTCACAGCTCTATCTTTACTAGTTTAATCTCATAAATTAATCCACATTCTCCTAAAATAAGTCTTCAAAGAGAAGGAGGTAATTGGATATAAATACTCTCCTTCCCAAACCCTGAGTTACACTGATATGGCAGCAGACAGCTTTTGGCACTTTGATCTCTCTGCATGATTTTCATTTCCCTTTTAAGCCTTAGTCTTGGGCCTCATTGTTTCATTTCTTTTCCACAGCCAGCTGTACTTTCTCTGCTTCCTAGCTTGTCCTCCAGCCACCCCCTGTGGCCCTTCCTTAAGAACATCAGACATCACCCCTCATTATTCTTTGTTGGCTGCTCTTCTCCTTCTGCTTTTACTGCAATGAGACCAGATGAAATGTCTGTGCCCATGTGGGCATATAAAACCCTGCCAAGAGAGATGTGAGTTACTCTGATACATGAGGCCAACTGCTGCTTAGTGCATTTCTGGTAAATCTGCACCTCCATGGCACAGCTTCTGCTGAGCAGGAGCCATGTAAACTACTCACACAATACACCATGTAGATAAAACCCTTTGTCTTCTCCAAGTGGAACTGACATGTTTTCATCACTCTTTTGATCACCTCTAGTCTCTTAATACACTCTGAACCCTGTCTTGCCTCTTTGCTGTCACGCAAGATTGATAGCTCCTTGAGACAGCAACTGCATTTTGAATTAAGTCTAGCAAAACAGGGTCCTTGTCCTGATTCAGTGAGTCACACCTTAGGCATGACAGCAAGATGAATATGTCCAAGGAATTCCTGGTCCCTGAAAATGTAAGGCTGACAAGGAAACCGAGGCTCAGTCTGAGAGTAAGTCACCTGGGTCCATCACAAACAGTGTGACTTTGCATACTCCTTCGACAGCTTTTGGGCAGACTGCTTAAATCCACAAGGTGCTTGGTGCCCTCAAGGTGTGGGGTGGGACTGTCAGCACCAGTGCTTTTCCCAGTAGACACCCAATGGTGTTCCACATGGAACATTTTGGTTTAAGGAAGGGATTTGATTCAAAATGCATGAGATTTGAGGTCAGCAGTCTAGAGTGAGACTTGAATAAGAACAGTGAAGACTATGCTATAAGTTTCTGAAAATATTATCCTTGGTAACTGCTGTCATCTCCAAATACAATAAGTATTTCTAGAGTATTTACCAAAAATTCCTGAAGAGCTGAATCAGAATAAATACAAGGTTTTTTATGAAGTTATTTGCTAAGACAGCAAAAAACTGACTTTTTTGATAAAGGCACTCCCTTCTAGTCCTGGTTTTGCGTAAACAGAAAAAATAAGAGTGTTTTCTTTCATTTTAGTGTCAGCCCATATGTCTTGGTAACTCCAAATGAAATCAGAAGAAAACAGTTGCAACAAAGTAAGTTGAATTGTCTAATATGGTAATACATTATTTCTACTTGAATAACTTTAGGGGTTTGTGCATTTTATTGCTCTTGCAACTTTTATCCTCATTTTTACAATGGTTTTGTATGTGCAAGATGTGACAGTAAAGTCAGTACTATGAGCATTCTCCATCACCATGTAGCTTTTCCGAAGATTGACTTCTCATCTGGCTGCACTTCATGCAGAATAAATCTTGTTCAGGAGAAGGGTTGTGGTAATTTCAGTGCTGGAGCTGTTCAAGATGGCTTCTACAAAACTGCTGGAATTAGCTCTATCCAGCTTTTACAGGACCGAATTCATATTGGAGAACCCAACTTTGAACAGTCTCTGGGTCAGTAGGAAGAAGAAAAAATGTAGATAAGAAATATTTTTGAAAATACTCCCATGAGGAAACAAAAGCAACTACAGCCACTGTTGGTTCTTGAATCTGCATTTAAGGTTGTAGGTGGCCTTTTCAGTGAAGTTGGTAAAGGTCATTATAGATGGAAAGTGTCTATATACACCGACTTTTTCTTGGCTTTGAGTCTTGCAGGTGAAAGTAGCCAAGCAGGAACACCCTGAACCTCTACCAGAAAGATCTTTCGTTGGCAAAGTTACAGCCAGAGTCAGTTGTGAAATAAATTCTGTATGCAGAGGTGACTGAGCACTGCAGTCCTGCACTCCTGACCATTGATTTATGCAAGATATAAAAGCTGAAGGAGTGAGAGTCAGCACTTCTCACATCTTGAGCCCTCAAGGAAACAATTAAATTAAATCCTTCTCAAACTTTGTGAGTTTGGCTGAAATGCTTCACCATCAGGCTAGTATGGGTTATGGGTTGGATTTCCTTTGGCTCCAAGAAATAAAATTGACTTATCTTGAACCAAACCATAATCTTCTGGAAGGATGAATAGCAGCAGATCATCTTAGACTCGCCTGTGACATTAACAGCAAAGGTGCTGCTACTCTAATAAAGAGCTAGTTTCACTTTGTGCCAGCAGCACGTAAGATCTGAAGCATGCCAAGTATTTAGATTTTGGATACTGGCAGAAATAAGACCTAGTTGAATGCAGTCTCTACCTAAATGCTTGTTTTAAAGTTGAAATAAAAAGCTGATATCTCTTTGGGGTCTCTTTAGAAACTTGCTCACGTACTGGCTTTATCCTCTAAGAGGACACCTGGTGTTAGTGTCTGATAGCCATAGCCAGTCATTAGGAAATATGATTAGTAAGAGTGAAATGAGCTCCTAAAGCAACTGAAGTGATAATGCAAAACACAGGTTTTGTTGGCCTTGCTATTGGAAGGAATTGTTGGTTTCTTCCTCTGGCAATTGATAAAGAGCGAAGTTAAATCAACCAGCCATCCTAGGGCATATGGCTGTGTTGTCTTCCACTGACTAGACTGGGAAATTGCTGCCCATCTCACATGTGGACACGTATGTTGAAGTGTCTTAATCTGAACCTGATTCATGCATTCCTCTTGCTTTTATTTAAAGAGCATGTGGTTGGGAGGGAAAATTACTTCTCATTTGCCTGCTGGGGAGCATTATACCACAAACATTTCCCTCCATTCAGCAGTAACATCTTAATTGTAACAACTTCTGCTTTACCTGCAGGACTAAATAATTTGGCTTTTACCTACAGGTTCCCAGAGGTTAAAAAGCAGTCTATTAGCAGTCCCTTAGTTGTTTTTTGTTTTGCTTTTGGGGTTTAGTCCTGGGGTTTGCTCACCATTAGAGTCTCGAGGTAGGGAAAACATTTGCCTTATTAGCTGATCATTGCAGTGACTGAGTAACGTCTTGGGGGGTGTCTGCACCCCTTGAGAACAAGTTTGTTCCTGGATGGTCTTCAGGATTACATGTAATTAGCAATACTGCATGCTTTTTAGTATTCTCTCTAACTTCCATATATTTGTTTCTTTTTATGCCTGCTCAGTTGCTAAGAAAGAGCTAGATGACCTGGAGCGGTGGAAGGAAGAGCACAGGCCAGGGCCAATTACATTGGTTCCACAGAGATTGGGTAAGATGTGAATCAGCATTTGCACATTGCAAAATTTTGTTTTCCAGAACATGAGGCATTTTTCACTTTTTCTCACATGTTAATTACTAAAGAGATTCAGTATCAATAAGGGCTAACAGGAGCCTACTGTAGGTGCTCTGTGCTTCTTGATGGTCATGGCAATGAAGATGTTTCTCAAACAAAACACCATAGATTGTCACTCAAGAAATATGCTGAGATCAGAGTAGAAAATCTGTGCTAACATTTGGGTAAAACAGGTGGATTATCCCTCCTGCTGTTGACACTGTCTTTGGTTGATGTCTGAGGGGGCACACATTTGCCATTAGTATGAAGATGGACAGCACGTGTTGGGAGACTCTCCAGTTGCCCATAAGAATACTCCTCTGTCTTAGGGGCTAGTAGGTGTGCTTTCATGACTGCTGTCTCTTGAAGAGGCAAGAGTGATCCCTGCAGCTTCAGCATTTGTAGGCTGAATGTGCATGAAACTCTGTATTACCAATTTTATAAAAATAACAACAAAGATAAGTAAATGAAAAACAGGATAAAAAGCTACAAGAACCGAAATCCCTGTGAACTGATGTGTTTGTGAAGATAATCAACATCAGACAGGTTGTGGCGTTTATTAATATAATAAATAATAAACCCACAAGACCCCATTGGTTGAAGGTTCAAACAACCCAATCTGTTTATCGGAAGCAAACAACACCCTTTATATGCACTTTAAAACAACACGTGATTCTCTTAACCAATCACCATGTGGTACCACAATGCCCATGTGTGTAGGAGTACATTTGGGACTTCATCTCCCAGGATGCCCCTTCCACCATCCCTAAAACACGCCCCCTACAACATGCGAGAGAAACTGTAGGAGATCTCTTCAATTGCAACCACTATAAAATATTTAATTTAGTCATATTTCAGAGTTACTTTAAAAAATAATTAGAAGACAAAACCAAACCAACTCAACCCAAAACAAATCTTGTTCAGAGAATAGAACTGCAGATTGAGCTGAAGCGAGAGGAATGTTATTAGAAGTGTTTTTCAAGTACCAGTCTTCAGATCTATCTTGTTTCAGTATCTTTCTTTAATGTCTTTGGCACTAAATCTAGGAGAGAGCTGATGAAACTTGCTGACAAGACAACTTTAAAGCATCATCTGTTTAGAATATGATGGGATGACCTTGAGAAACTGACTAATAAAAATCAGGCAAAATTAATTCTAGCAAATTGAATTACTGTAACGATGCCTTTATTAGTTTTATAAACCTAGAGCTGCCCTTCCTTCCCTTGGCTATCATAGGAGAATTTGAGGTGCATGGTGCAGGCTATTGGCTACCTTGACCTGCAAATTAAGTTCTTTCTTTGCCATACTACACATGATAAGTTTGCAGTGGGATAATGTGTATAAAAATAGATAGCAGGTGGGAGATAGAGGAATTTGAACTGACTCCAACCCAGACTTGGTTTTTAGATCAAGGTGATAAGGGTCCCACATATTCTGCCCTGCAGCTTGAGTCAGTTTGCTTTGGTGGTAATGCCCTGTATTCCCACCATCACGTGCAGTCCTATGGCCAGACATGGTCTTTGTGAATTCATGCATATCTGCTTCTTGCTTGTGAGTCATTCCTAGAAGACATGCTTCTGTCACAAGAGGATCACAAAGCTTTTTGCTGAAGAAAGTGAAATCTGAAAACAGAAATTTGGTGTATGGTGTCTATGTAGAATGTGTGTGGGCTGGCTGCATGACTGAGGATGTGATGTCAAAGCTGCAGGGACAGGTTGTGGGGAGTCTTACCTTCTTCTGGGCCCATAGCATTTAAAAACTTGCTTGAGGAAGAAGCAAATTAAGAGGAGGAAAAAAAAAGTAAGAAAATATGATCCCTTCAGTCGTTGTCTAGCTGCAACTTAGACTCCTGGAGACTGAAACACTAAGTTCAGTGCCTCTGAAAAGAGGTAATGTGCAAAGATTATTAGATCGCATCGTTCTCACGGGAACAAATTTGGAGCTGAAGAGAGCTCAAGGAAGGAGAAAAAAATATAAGTGGCATCTCTAATTTCACCACTGTAGGTACTCATTAAGGTAGAAAAGTATAATGTGTTGTTTTCTCAGAGTGATTTTAAGAGATTACACATCTAGTCCAAATCACCAGAGAATCCTTGAAGTTTCTTAACACTCATACTTTCCACAGGGAAATAAGTATTCTGGATTTCAGCTCTGTAATATTTGACTGGCAAACTTGCAGGCACCGTGGAGAGATGAGAGCAATGAAGGATGCAAGTTCTGCCCTCCTTCATAAGCAATGAATGAAGCAACAATTCATGCCTGATAAAATGGTCTCTTTTTTGATCATATCATATACAGCCAGTCACTACATACTCTGACTTCAGCAAAACATTTGACACATTACAGCCAAACCTTGAATGAATTAAACCTGGCTGAAAGGCTATAGGCTATAGCTAATAATGATCAGAAAAATATTTGTTTAGAGATGATGCTCATCACTACATGCAAAGAAAGTACAGTGCACACAGGAAATATTGCCAATAAAAGGCTAGAAAAAAAACAGAGATCAAGCATCCAAAAGGTTTAAAAACTTGTTTAGTAGCCATTTTATTTTTTAGACCTGTGAAGGAGTCACTCCACTCAGTGCTAGCTGTATGCTTATTGCTACTTTAAGCTTGTTGCCTGTATACTGTATGGCCAGTCTTTTTTGAGTACTTATCCTACATATTTATTTCTGTGAGTAGAAATGTTGCCACACTTAGGGAATTGATCTCCCCTTCACTGAACCTCACAAAAGCACCTAAAGATTAGTTACCTTCCATTAGTAAGTGGAGGAAGCTGCCTTTAGAGAAGGCAGATTTTCCCTTCTGAAAGATCTAGTATATTTGTCTTACATTTCATAGAATGGCTTGGGTCTGAAGGAACCTTAAATATCATATAGTTCCAACTCCCCTGCCATGGGCAGTGATGCCACCCACTAGACCAGGTTGCTCAAAGCCCCATCCAACCTGGTTTTGAACTCTACCAGTGGTGGAACATGCACAACTTCACTGGGCAACCTGTGCCAGTGCTTCACCACCTTCACGATGAAAAATGTCTTCATTATATTTAATCTAAATCTCTCTTCTTTTGGTTTAAAGCCATTCCTCCTTGTCCTATCACTACATGCCCTTGCAAAAAAATCCCTCTCTAGCTTTCTTCTAGGTCCTCTTAAGGTACTAAAAGGCTTCTAGGGGGTCCCCTTGGAGCGTTCTCCTCTCCAGGCTGAACAACTCCAGCTCTCTCAGCCTGTCTTCATAGGAGAGGTGCTCCAGCGCTCTGATCATCTTCAAGACCCTCCTATGGACTCACTCCAGCAGGTCTATGTCCTTTCTTTCTTATGTTGGGGACTCCAGGGCTGGATGCAACACTCCAGATGGGGTCTCACAAGAGTGGAGTAAAGGGGCAGAATCAACCTTGCTTGACCTGCTGGCCATGCTGTTTTTGATGCAACCCAGGATATCAGGCACGTCAGGCTGCACAGATTGGTGCAGCTGCTTCTATAGTTAGGAGACACACAGAGGAGAATTTCTCATTAAAACCCTAAGGGAAAATACACTCCCTACCCTCTGAATGGAGTAAGAATTGCTGTTGATTTTCAGGACAACTGAGGGAATGAATTATTTCCTCTCCTAAAGCAAGAAAATACTTTGGAAAATAGTAGAGCAGAATAATAAAATCGAAGTCCTCCATCCCTTAAGCCCTAGTATCAAGTTATTTATGTGGTTAGGTTTTTGTTTGTTTTGTTTGTGAGTTGTTTGTTTTTATTGAATGCTGAACATTATGGCCAGAGCTTTAGATGTTCTCAAAAGAGAGTCCATGCCGTTGAATGAGGACACCTTCTGCTACCTGGATATGAATGTGAGGTTTGTGGGAAAAGGCTTTGACTTCCATTTCAGAAAGGGGATTCTTCCTCGAGCACCAAAACATTAGTTAGAAAATATTAAAGTGATAGCATCCCATTAGAGCTGGCAGAGTCCAAGATCCTAAGTTTGATAAAAGATAAACTTTTTGGTAATAGAATTTCTGACTCTGTATGTGTGTGACAAACTGAGCGAAGGTGGGAATAGTTGGATTGAAAAATGAAAACTCACCTGCAAAGCATGACTGATTTTCTGAAAATGGAATAGTTCCTCAGTAAACTGATCATATACTGTAGAGACATATTTGTTGGTAGAGTGGGTGATACAGTGGATGCTCTGTAAGTAATAAGCAAGTGCTTTTGATGGATGAATAAAATGATCAAAAAGGTCTCCTATCTGTTCTCTTTAATATCAGACAGCTACTGTAATTATGAAAAATTTCCTGTATATGCATACATCCAATCTGTTATATTGCTATGTTCCAAAGTGACTGGTATTGGCAGTTAAAATGTTCATAAAAAATGCAATTTATATGTTTGGGTTTTTTTAAGGTGGAAAGGAATCAGAGGCTCAAGCAAGGCAAAACCAGCAAATGATGCTCATGCAATCTAAATACCAGCAAAAGGTTGGTAAGAATAAATTTGTTTGTTTATTTTTAGAATTCAAAAGAAAGCTTTTCTTGTAGTATTTCTTATGACTATAAAATGAACTCAGAGACGCTTGGCAGAAGAAAGTCATGAAACCTGAAGGAAGCAGCAGGAAATCAGAAACAAATGTTCTGCACCAAAGAAAATAAGAAATCTGTCCATAAATATGTAGCAATCTGTATCACAGATGATATAGAAAATAATAACCAGTATGGTTGTAAAGCCACTTATATGCCTCGTTGTATCTTTCGGCATGCTGCCTACACTTCAACTAATTGATCAATGTACCACCCTAACCTGTACTTATGTGGAAATGTTGTTTCTGTTATAAGAGGTATAAATGCTTATAAGTTATCAATCAGCTGTGTGATTCCTTGCATGGATGCCCATTTATCAGTCCTAGATTTCTCAGCCTTCTTAAAGACGATATTGGAGTAGCTGTTGCACAGCCTGCATTATTTAGTGTCTCATTTTAAGGAAAAAAATTCTGGAAACTTTCCCCAAACACACTTTAGATTTGAAAAATATACAGTACAGGAGCCAAGTTACCTTATGCATTCCTTGTATAAATACATATGTAAAATAATTTTGTATGTTTATGTCATACAGCGCAAGAGAGAAGAATATGTAAAAGCAAAAAAGGCAGCTGAAGAAGCTGAAATCCTGAAAAAGAAAGCAATTCAGAGAGAAAAGGTAAACCTGGTTATTGCAGAATTAGAGCCATATAACACAGTTCATGTCTTGATGCTTGATTTTGCTGAACTACAGGGAAGAGGCTAATTAAATTAAGTGGTAACCCCAGATGGCATCAAGGAGTTAGGAAATCCAGTCCTCCGCCTCTTTGTAGCTGACTAAAGGATGTTTGACCTGGTGTTCTTTAGAGCTTGAGAGTTCCTTGGGCTCTTCAGAAACTCCAGCCTTTCAGTTGCATCCATCCTGAGGAGTTAGCAGAAAGGTAGAACACTAAGGTCAGGAGTAACATTGTGTATGCAGGTTACATGGTTCACTTTGGCATGAGCTTTCTCTATAAGATCAGATTGTGGAAGATGGCACAAAGACCTTATAAAATCTATAATTGCTTGTGCACATGGGAAGAATACTAGAAAATCTGGCCTGTTATGGTGGAAAAGCCATCCAAATCATGAAAAGGTCAGTGTAGTCTATCTGCATTGGGCTGAGAGCACCATGAAGTTCAAATGGCCCTCCAGCCCCTCTGGGCTTGCACACACAGGTGTATTGCTAATGTCAGAGCACTTTTCCTTCTAATATTCTCCATACACTGACATCAATGATAGCTCAGTTTCAAAATTCCTTTTATGATTTTGCATTTGTTTTCTTTTTCTAGTTATTCTCACAAAGCATCTTCTCATCCTTTGTGCTGCAAAACTTTTGTAAAAGTTCATTTGTGTCTCCTTGGTGGCAATCAAATAGTGCTCAAGAGTGCAGTGTTGAATTTAAATGAAAAAAGAAAAGAGGGGAAACACGATACAGATGTCCACAATAACAGGGAGAGAAAGGGAGATTTCAGGTTTGCAAGTTTTATCTCTACAACAGTAAAAATGATTTTCTGTGCAGAAACTGAAACTTGAAAATTAATTAAAAAATAATCAATACTGATTGGCATACAAGGGCATGCATAAACAAAAATAACTGTAATTGCCTCCAGGTAAGGGTTAGTCTGTTCTCAGTCTTTCAGTGGTTAGCATTACTCTTTGGGGATAAGCCCATACATAATAGCTCACTGGGGCTATAAATGCTATCATGGGAAAATGTCATTAATGGTTACCAGCTCATGTATAGTTCCAGAAGCTAGAGAATGAGGATAGCAATGGTAGACAGGGGTTTAATTATTTAATATATGGTGTTTGCCCATGGGCATTGGACAAGAAAAATGTTAGAGGGCTGCTATATATAATTTCTAGTTACACCTAAAAATATATTGATGTATCAGTTTTGTTTTCATACTCTTAAATTTCCTTACCTTCACTCCCACAGATTATAAAATCTTTATAGATGTTGTAGATAGTAAAATTTCTAAAGGAGGGTGAAACATAATGGCAAACATCTTTGCCAGACAGACTGTCTAATTTGACTAAATAAACATATACCCAAAAGCAATCAAATAAAACAGAGAAGCATGAAAGGGAACTCTTAATTTGAAGTTGTTTATTCAGATTGTCTTCCACAATAGTGATTGAGCTGATAAGATTTCTTCTTGGAAGATGATTATATATTAAAAACTCAACCTTGTTTTTAAGAAGAGCATGCTGGAAAGCCACTTAAAGGTATCAATTTGTCTATCTCACCCTGCCTGAAAATGAAAGGCTCCCAAGAGCTGAGGATGAGAGGAGTCTTAGAGAACTGGTACTGTATGACCAATGTTGGGCTTTGGTTACCACAAGACATAAGCTTTTTATTTGAAGTGATAGATCTGTATTCAACTGCACCTGCAGTGCATCGGCTGAGAGCTGTTTTTCTTGCTGGCCAGTGCTTCTTTTGCTCAAGGTTATTATTCATTCAATAAAAACCAAATTGTCTGACAGTCTGAAGGGAGAAAATGGCTAGACAGCTTTATCAGCAGGAGCCCTGGAACTTTCACAGCTGGAAAGCTACTTTGCCAAAAAACGTGAATGGTGAAGCCCTACAGACTAATGTGCTATGACTGGAACGGGTGCTGATACTCAACTCAGTTCTTCCTTGATTGTAAGAACAATATAGGCCAGTGCTGCCTGTGAACCTAGGATCTGTTTATGTTTCTGCTTTAATGCTGATTTTGCAGAAAAAAAGCAGCATTCACTTTCAAATTGTCTTTGTGGAGGGAGAAAACTGTGTCTGCCAAAGCAGCATCCAAATGTGGAAGGTCTGCCTTAGCATATGTAGGAGTCCACCTGCCAGTCTTTGTCATTCTTTAATTAATCTTGAGGTTATTAGGTGCTGAAATACCAATGCACTTGGCATCTACCTTGTCTCTTTCCATCTCTCAGAGAGAAGGAAGATTCTTTATTCTGTGTTCCACAGGACTGGTTTGTGTGAACAGATACCCAAGTCTCCCACATGCTCCATGGGAGGCAGCTTGTCCTGGGACTGCTGTGGTTTGTTCATGGGGTAACCGTGGGCTGCATGAGTTTGAATATTCTAAGGTAGTGATCTCTCAGTGCTCACTGAAATAATTTGAAAAAGAGTTTGTAATGTTAGCAGGAAGTTCCCTATTTCTGTTTTTGTCCCCAGTGCTGAGATGTGTGCCTGATCTGCAGAAAGTGTGGAAGTACATGGGAAGTAGTTTTTTTATTAATTTCTCATTTGTAGTAGGTATTTGCAGTTTGGTATCTTTTGTGTAGCCCTTCACATCACAGATTTTGACCAGACTAAACCATAATTTCCTTTGTGTATTTTGGGTGAAAGGACTGTCAAAGTTCTCCCAAAAATAAGAAAGTGGCTGAGATTTGGCTTCTTGTTTTTTAAACTTTTGGAATTTGTGCTGCACATAAAATAGGATAACTTCAGTGCACTGGGTATTTCTATTTGCTGTCATTCAATTTCTGTTGCTGTTACCCTGCCTTTGGCCTTTCCTTGTATGCTCTAAGTCTTGATTGAATTCCTGCTCATACAGCTTTTTGCTCTTACCTTACACAACTTTTTACTCTTACCTCACACAGTAAACAGTCCTGTCATCTTTAGAAACTGTCTTATTTAGGATAAGCTGTAATTTCATTTTATTTTTTATCAAATCATGTGCTTTTTATTTGACTGTGTTAATCAGCATGAATGGCCTTTTTTTTCAGGAATTTGTTAGAACCAGGCACTTTACAGACCTTCTGCTAATATTTTTCAACATGTTTACCTTCAGTATCACAGCTGTTCCGCTCTTGGCTTTGTTTTTGAAGATGCTGCCAAATGTACAGTGCTTTGGCAATGTCTACTGGTAGGTTGTCGTTAGTTAGAGAATGTTCCAGTCCTGTTGCCTGCCACTTGTATGCATCCTAAGCAGGGGTCCCAGGGTAAACTTCCAGAGTAAAAAATAGTCATGTCAGCCACAAATGAATAATTTCAAGATGCTGGGGTTTTCTTCAGGTACCATTCTGGTGGTAGAATAGCTGTAGGATATCCTGTTGTTGTTGTTTTTTTTCTAGTGGGAAACAGAGATGATAGTGAAGGTTTGTATTTATCAAAATTAGTATCGCTGTGTTTTTCTAGCTAGGAGCTAGACCACAACAACTCCCATGAGCTTTGGATTTGAACTTTCAGGAACCTTGCAATATGGTAGCAGATCTCACATCCAATGTTTTTTTCGGAGGTGAAGGTGTCAGCTTGCAGTGTTGGGCAGTGTTGGGAAAAAGTCTGGAAGCTACGGCTGATGTCTTGAGAGTATCAGCATCACCTTTGACTATAACAGAAGCCAGATTAGATTTCTCTTCTACCTCTTTCCTTTCTTTTCCTGTAAATTGTTGTTACATAAATAGGTGGGAGTCTTTTTGCCTAAAAAATTATCCCTCTCTGGGTGGAGTGGTTAGGAACAAACAAGATATCCCTTAAACATTCTCAAAGTTTACCTATACTGTGCAGTCATGCTCCTCACTGCAAGTGGGTTAAATTTTTTAATTGCATCAGTACATCATACATTCTACCACTGATTCTGGATGTCAAATGACTGACCAACAGGACATCTTATTCAGAGATTCATCTTCCTCCTTTTGTTTAATTTTCCACTGCCTTTTTCCAAATAAAAACTTCTGAGTCATTTACCTTCCAGCAGTTTATATCATCGCACAACATAGTGGCTCTTTTCCTGTTTGCAAATATCTGAAAGGATTTTTTTTCTTAATCCAATACATGTGAAGGAGGAATTTGCACTTGTTTTGCAAATCTCTTCCAGACAGTCATTCTTTACCCAATTAAAAAATACCCACTCTTAAATCACTGAAGGCAAAGTAGTTGAGTAACTGCCAGTAGAATTGTAATTTTTCTGAAACTTTTTTTGGTTGCAGGAAAGGAAGAAGGTGATAGAGTTAGGGGTTTCATCCCTATTCTTAACAGCACCTCTGCCCAGGTAGAGTGTCCTCTCCCTGATTTGGGGCTCTGGCCATTTTCACCTACACCACCCTTCTCATCTCTGCAAAGTATTGTCTGAAATTTCCACAGCACTTTGTTCAGAGGAATGGCTGAAAATAAAAAATTATTCTTTTTCCTTTTGAGGGGAGGTGACAAGCAGAGTGATAGTCCGAGTCGGTATTTTGCTCCATATGCAAGTTGCCGTGATCCTTGGCTAGGAACTCTTGCAGCAACCCCCCCCCCCCCAGCTACAGTGTGGGAGCTTGTGCTCAAAATACAGCAGGCTGAAATCTCAGGTTGACACTTCCAATTTGTGCTTTTAATACACTGATCTGCCTTTTGACTGCTCTTCACATGTGACCTAACTGCAGCCTGTGAGCCAAAGCAAAGATTTGGCTGGCCTTCTTTTGACTGGAATTTAGGTTGAAATACACATTGCTGTTGCAGCAAGTTCTCTAGTTTTTGCTTTTATTTTAATGTTTTATTCTGCTTGAATTTGGGGCTTGGGCATCTTATATGATCCTTTCACTGGAAATTATGTGCAATTTTGTATTAATGGACTTAATCACTTGTGGTATCCAGATTTTAAAAGGAGTTGTATATGTCAAGGATTTCGTTGACTCTTATACTGGATATGGTATCTGAGGCAGAATAATGCTGGTTAAGTACCAATGTCTCCCACTTTCGTCCATCTTAGCATGTATTCAACTGGCCGGTACCTAATGCCCCTGAAGGTCAGGTCCATGGCTACAGGTACTCATATCACTGCACTGTCAGTGCTACAGGATTATCATCTACTTTGGTGGGGTGGTTTGGGTCCTTCTTACTAGGACCAGTGTTCCAAGAGAGGTCCCCCAACAGGGTTGTGATATGAGAACTGTCAAGGCTTACAAGGCCCTTTAGGTACATAGATCTACTAGAAGCACCATATCATTTTCTATTTTAAACAGGTCTCTTGACTAGGAGATGTTTGGTCATATCTGATTACTTTTAAATTTGAAATTAGGTCACTTTTGTACCCAACTGCTGCCATAGATCTTTTAAAGACCAGAATATTAAAGTACTGGAATTGAAATAATCAATATTTGTTTCTCATTTATTGGAAACATCAAATATGTTTTCCTGTTTTTAATGCTGTAGGCAGAGAGACTTGAAGTTAAAAAAAGACAACAAGAAATGCAAAGAAGAGAGATGTTCCTTGAAGATCAAAATTAGTAAGTAAAATTTGAAAATTATTACCTAAAATTCCTCATCCATTTGTCCTTCTTGCTTGTTTGTTTGTTGGGTTTTTAATTATTATTTAATATTATTTATTTGTTTGTCTTTTTTTTCCTGGTTCAGGGCTCAGGAAGGGCTTCTGTTGCTATTTTTTTCAATTTTTGACTTGAAACTTTTGATTTCAGGACAAGGGGCAGAAACTGACATGCAGGAGGTTCCTACTGAACATCAGGAGACACTTTTTTACTCTGAGAGTGACTGAATATAAGCACGTGTTATCCAGGGAGGTTGTGAATTCTCCATCCTTGGAGATATTCAAAAGTTCTGGGCAGCTGTCTCAAGGTGGCCCTGTTTGAGCAGGGGTTTGGACAAGATGACATCCAGAGATCCTTTCCAACCTCAAAGATTTTATGATTCTATGAAATATTCCAAGCCTCCTCCATACCTTATTCTGTGAGAAATTTGATTCTGTAGACTTCTCTTAGCTTCCTAAAACACACACTTAGAAATGAAAGCTGTGAATTATAGAATGACTTTGTTCTCTCTTTCTCTAACTAATCAATAGGTGATCATTCAGTCCAAGACTAATTATTGAAACAGGATTTAAATTACATCTCCACCCATTTATTTTATTGACTAGTAAAGAAATCTAACCCACATGGAAATAATGAGGACTTCCTATATTTAGCATACTTAAATGTAGAGATTTGTTATGAAGACCTGTTTCCCAGGAATACCTCCTTAATATCAGATTTAGATACAGCTTAAGTCCTGGCATAATTAATTCCATTGGTAGTGAAGTTCCTGCCTTGCCCATTCACTCTACCCTATTTATTTATTTTTAACTGGTCCAAACTGATTCTATCACATAATTAACACACAATACTGTTTAGTCACCTTTACCTTTTTTATCTTAGGCTTCTGAAATTACTCACCTGTATGTTTAGTCTGATTGATTGCTTTTTCCTCCTCTGTGACCTTTAAGGGAGTCACTTTTTTCCCATGCTGGTAGCTCCAGTTTCTTCACCATTTGCCCAGACTTTGTTCTCTAATGCATAGACATTTTAGTGCTTTGTCACTCATCTCAACCTTTCTTGTATTTTATTTTTGTTTCTTCGCATTTGACTTCAGGCACAGCTCTTTCCTTTAATACGTTATCAGCATTTGTCTCTAGATATTGGTGTTTTGCTTGCTGTTTATCCTCGGTTTGTCCTGGTGTGGATTTTCCCACACACACCTTGATTCCTCAGGATTTCTGAAGACCCTTCATAACTTTAGATCTTTGTCTGTTTCTGACAGACTAGACACTTTCATTCTCTTTGGGCCTAAATCAACAACAGACACATCAGGTCTTTGCAGTGCAAGGTCCTCAGTTACAGGCCTTGCTTCTTCCTAAGGGAATTGTCAAGGATTTTATCTTCTAATTTAATATAATTTTTTGTCTTAAGGTATATTCAGTTATGAACAGAGACAAATCTCTTCCTTTCCCTCACCTTCTCTGTCTGTACCTTTTTTTTGCTTAGGGTGAAATGAATTCTGATGTTCAGAGATTTTTCCATTAAAAGTAAGTTTGGTTTTGCCAAAAGCAGATCCAAACCCTCTGAAACACAGGACAAATGGAAATGGCCACAAGTGAAAAATTTCTTCACCAAAAGGGTGGTCAAGCACTGGAACAGGCTGCCTCAGAGAAGTGACTGAGTCACCATCCCTGGAGGTATTTAAAAGACGTAGAAATCATGCTTAGAGACATGATTTAGTGCTGGACTTGGCAGTGCTGGGTTAACAGTTGGACATGATGATCGTAGAGGTCTTTTCCAACCTAAATGACTCTATGTGGGCAGTCAGGTAGTCCCCAGGTGATGCAGGAGCTCTGGCTGCCGGGGCACTGAGAAGTGGACTGGCTGGCAGCCGTTCTGTCCACTGATTAAGGAAAGGCTTGGGAGCATTCATCTTTGGAAACTAATTGATTGATGCAACTGAAGGTAAAGATGGACTGTCGAGCTCCATTGCTTGAGATTATAGAACTATCAGAACATTATTTGTATGTACTATGTATTGAACATACACCAGAAGGGCCCTGCAGCTACTACTCCTGGAGGAAGTGAACTGAAAAACTACCTACACTGAATGCAATTTTGGTTAAGCAAAAACCTTCCATGCTGTACAGTGTTAAGGAAACTTCCCTGTCCAACCATCCAGGAGTTACTCTGGTAGTCACTCTTGCACTGCCTGAGCTGGGACCGAAGCCCCTTCAAAGCTACATGCCCCAACTCACAGAGTCAGACCAGGTTTCCTTACCAGCTCGACCCCAGGCTTCCCATAGCACTGTCTCAGACATCCAGATCCTTAAAATAATTTAATCATGATGCAATAACTAAACAACAAAATACCAGCTTGACCTGGTGCCTCTGAGGAGGGATCCTGAACAAAGGAACTGCTGGGCTTTTATACCATCACAGTCTAGGGGCAGGGAAGTCTGGGGGTCCTTGGCTCCTGTGGTGTCTCTAAGTGTCAGGTCCCCTGGTGGAATCACAGGTCACTGTGCCCTTTTTCATGCAAAGTGTCAGCAGTTCATGGCTTCTTGCCTCAGGCTTGGGCTCCTGCCCCCCAGAGCTCAACCTGCAGCTCTCACTGCAGCTGCACACCAAGCTACCTGCACTGAATGTATTCCTCAAGATATAGAGTGACACTAGTGTCTTCCCTGGTCTGAAGGAATCCTCTGGTGAGCAGAGGAAGGAGAGTCTGTGCCACTGGATGTTGCTGAGGATGCATTGCTGAGATACACTGCCATTATGAAGCACAGCATCCAGGAGTAATGGAAAGATTCTGTGTGACATTTCAGATTTTGTGAAGTAACTCTACTGCATGTTCACATAGAAATGCTTGGTATTTAAAGTCACACTATGCAAAAAAAAAAAACCTACTATGCAAAAATGAGTAACTCATTACTTGCATCATCTAATACCCTTTGTCTAGAGGCAAAGAGAACAAATGCAAGGTTGTGCCCCTTTCTTTGCTGTCTCTGTTGGAGTATTTTGATCTCCTTCTCTGCTTGCTGGGAGATGGGGGAAGGAAGGTCATGTGCTGCATATAAAGCAGTGACCTCTGCAAAGTCATGGCCTGTAGAGCCATTTCAAAAGATAAGCTCCCTTGTTAGTCTGTCCTCTATAAGACCTGTAGCTGCAACATCACAATTTTCCTGAGGAGATCAATGCCTACCAGCACTCTCATTAGCTGGAAAACCTTTTAAAATTGATCACCACCTCTAGCCATATCATCCTCCAAGGGCTACAGCCCGATCAGTACCTCTCCTGCATGAAGTACCGCTTCTATTTGATAAGGAAAGGCACTTAAGATTCTCATGTCATTAACATACTATGATGCTGTTTAGAATTTTGTATTTCTGATTAAATTCTTGTCACTATTAAAACCAAGAACTTCTCAATGAAATCTCTTTTCAGAGGGTCTAACATGAAGTGCTAAAAAGAAAAACGCTCTGCAACTTTTTTTGCTGTCTACAGAATACAGTTATTTTCTATGTTTGAAAACCTTGTAAGCTTCTTTGGACTTTGGATTGAAGAAGTTGCTGCATATGTAGGAAGTGATTGCTACAGTTTGTGCTAATAGAGAAGAAGCACATGAGGGATTTGTTGGTCATAATGTTGCTGTGGTTCTGTCCTAGCAAATGTCAGATTTAGAAAATGGGGAGTGTGTGTTGACTTTCTACCAGAAACTACTTACCCATGAAATGGAGTCCTTCATTCTGAGTCATGACATCTTGGATACATTTTGCACTATGGGCCTGATTGTGTTTCTGTCAGGGTGCATGAAAAGGTAGTGAAGGCTTGTATAGTACATACTTTGGAATTGCTGATCCATGTGAGGGAAGAACTGACTATCCATCTTTCCAAATGGAAACAAAGAAGAGGAGTTTTCAGGACATCCATCTTTAGTTAGTACACTGTCATTTAAACAGTAATGAGGATGGGTATCTCATGACTTGCTTTTCTCGGCTGTGTAGCTGCGTGAATCTGTGTTTGAACTCTAGGGTATCTCACCATACAGCTTAATCTAGTAAGATGCTTTTATTTAACTTGTATTCTACTTTCCAAAAACTATTGTGTTGGATGTGGTTCACTGTTTTTCTAATAGCCATCTACCTATTTATGTAATGGGTAAAGCAAGTTAGAACATAGGTTACTTTCTAATAGCACATGATGACTGTTGTATCACTTCATGCTTCACTTTGTTACGTATTCATGCCTCTGTTTTTGTGAAGGTTGTGCTCCTGTAAAAATTCTTGGCACTGCTGCACTCGGGTACATGTGTGCACTCCATATATTCTGCTCAGAATTTGGAACTGGAAACAGAATTTACCAGAGTGCCTGTAAGTGCATATTCCAAACACAATGCAGGAGGTTCACCAAACCAAGTTGATATACGCTTGCCTGCCAAAGCAGTTTTCTCAAAAGTCATAAAATGCAAGAGAATAAAACCTGAATCAAAACAGAATTTTTATTTATTTATCTATTTTTACAGGATGAATACCAGTGTCCTTGCCAGTTTTCAGTCCCCTATGATGTGTGGTTCAAACAGCAGGCTGGCAAGAGATTTTCCCCACAGAAGTACAAATGTAAACCTGACCAGACTTTTGATATAGGTTGCTAGAGAGAATGAAAGAGAGCTCACACAAAAAGGGTTTGCAGCCTTGAGAATCCTTTGTTTGCTTCTTTTCACCACAATTGTCTTTGCTTTGTTCATTTGCTCCTGATTATTTTAAGCGTTGTCAATTATTTAGCTAACAGGCAGAAAACTAGGCTTTTATAGACATCCAAAGGGACTCTCTTGAGTGTAATAATGAAGGCAGTTTATTGAACGCCTGTGAGGTTGCTTTCTAATTGTACACATTAATCTGCCCATGCAAGCTGGCTGAAAATATAGAAGCAGATTGCACATGCAGATGGAGCACACAGAATCTGTGCAAAAGACTGATACG